CAAAGTCAACATGAACAGCCGTTAGTTCAAAAATCGAATGTCCAACTTTCATAACTTAATTTATATGAACTTATTAAGGACAAATTTCAGGCAAATTTTCGGTCGATTTAGTATAGGTGTATCAAATTAAAGCGCAGATGCCAAGTGTCCACCATGTTTGGAGCGCAAATGTCCTTTCGTCTTCCAGGTAAAAAAATGCAAACGTCTTCAATCCGCAGATAAGATAGTGGAGGTATTAATTAAATTTAAATAAGTGTTGTAACGAAAAAGTTATATTTCAAAAATAATGTTTCCCTTTCAAAATTTGAAATTGTCCCTTTTGGCGTAAATAACATGTCAATATACATAAATCAAAATCAGGTACAATCATTTCGAGGCAAAGGTAACTTTTAAACAAAAAAGTTTTGACTTGGAAAGCTGACAATAAATCTCATACTATAGCATCCAGTCATGTCTATATAAATATGTTTCACTGAACTAGAATACATATTTGTTTAGGGGCCAGCTGAAGGACGCCTTCGGGTGCGGGAGTTTCTCGCTGCATCGAAGACCCATTGGTGGCCTTCGGCTGTTGTCTGCTCTATGGTCGGGTTGTTGTCTCTTTGACACATTCCCCATTTCCATTCTCAATTTTATTCAATCCAGAAACTTGCATCAAATAGCCTCAGAATCTGTGACCACAGAAACTGAGAAGTGTTTTAGATAACAAAGCACTAGGGACGTCTGCTTTTGAAAGCGAGAAATATATTTTTAACCGGTACCTACCGTGCAATATATGATTTTATACTAACAATTTCCAAAAAGATATTATCTTTTCCTCAAACGTTTTTATTTATTTTATAGCCACCACCCCGTATCCTACATAGAAAACACCCGGCATGTGGTTTTCTACATGTTCTGGTCACAGATAACAACCAGGAGTCACAATACAGATCTTTGAAATCAAACAGACAAACAATTACATATGGTTGTATTTTAATCCACATATGAACAAAAGTTATGTTTAACCCATGATCATCCTTTAGTCGATATTTTCCGTATTTATAATCGGGTTGGACAATTACTGTCAATATTGGTGTCATCATTGTTGCTTCCGAGGTTAGGTATTGAGTCGAAATTAATAAAACAGACTAATAACCTTCAGATCTGTGTATATTTTGATGATAAATACGTAATGTATGATAGAACAACATAATTATATTGAAAAAGAGGGGAGGGGGGTGTGAGATACAATTAGAATTTAATTATTTTCTGTTAGCAATTATCGAACAATGTTTTGCTTAAATATATTGTAGGTAATAGTATAGACAAAACATTTTAAATTCTTTTACGTAAACTTTGAATGTCATATTTATCAAGCACAGTTATTCCTATAGTCTCGTTATAAACATAACACATTGTCTCTCCGAGTACTTGGGCTTCCTCCACCATAGTAACAGACTTCCCGGTGTCCTAGCACTCCCGTGGTGTTGGGTTGAGGAATTGTCCTTGGTGATGGGTTGTACATATGTTAGTAACACATCTCCATTAATCCTGTTAGGGAGTGTTCATGGATACCACTGTACCCTCGCAGCATTCGAGGGGAGCTCCGAATAAAGGAGGTATCAACCCGAACATACAATTGTCGTCTTGACTAAATACAAATTCTTCTAAAGTGTCCATTTGAACTCAACGGATATAGACAGTAGGAATATGCTTATTTATGTTTATTTACACTCAAGTTAAAATATTACTGTTGCTTAGGGCGCAAGACATTAGGGCTTAATCATAAAGTTGAGCGTGACCATAGTATCATTTGATCTAAAAAATGTGGAGTCAAGTTTACATTTGGGCTAATTATTTTGTCACACAGCTGTTTTATACTTTCACGTTGTACATAGTTTAAACAATATTTAATGTTGCAAAGGAATCCCACTTTCACAACCCCTCGGTGAGTTGGGGATCAGACACTGTCTGGCAAACAGAATGGATACATAAAACAAGATCATATTATCAACAGAATGTCATTTATTACATGTAGAATATAAATACTTAATTGAAATATAAATATTTTACATGGAATTACTTTTTAATGGGATGATTAGCCCAAATGTCAACTTTAAAATTAGGCCTAATTTCCACTTGCATTTGCCCAAACGTAACATATTTTAGCCCAAATCATCGGTTATACCAATTAGCCCAAACGTGCACCTCCCGTTGCTTATATGTACATCATAATACTGAATAGCTGTGCATAGTTATAGTCGTGTTAATGTACCTCAAAAATATGTCTTGAATGGTGTTCATTTACTTTAAACATGAAATTACTTGATATTTTTGCACACTTTTAATTGCTCTTGTTTTTTTCAACATGTTCAGGTCAGACACGGGTCTTTCAAAGGGTTTTAGCTTATCCTATATTTTCCTTCAGACATCAAAGTAATTTAATTATTTGGAAATTTTAATTAACTCATGGGTCATTGTGCATGTATCTACAAAATAGTTTTAATTTAAGACTTTATTACACAAACGAACTTTAAATTGTTTTTTTTTTTCATCATCTTGCCTCTTGAGACCTTAAGCATGAGAGAAACCATTCAATAACACTTGACAACTTCTATACTACAGAATACAAAATTACAAACAACTTAAAGTACGTGTTAATAAGTTTCTCAATAAAAATATATTCCAGCAATTTGTAGATAATAATTTATAGATCAGAAACCTGTCACGTAAGGTCTTTCAGTATAGTGTTTCAAAGTATTTCGTTTTGGTTGACTTTGTGGAATTGACAATTAAGTTTGACTAATGTGTCGGCATCTGAGGTGAACAAATTGGCGTAAACCACTGTTTGTCTCAAATGAACAAGGAAGTAACATTTTCATAATTTGTTATCTCCTCTGTAGACATTAAAGCTGACATATCATCCAAGTGATGTTACGTGGAAACTATATTTTAAGTTAACTGTTTGAAAAAAGATAGAACCTTTACCTTGAAGAAAAGCATTTTATTCGTAATTTTCTAATCATATTAATTTGGTTTGGTATCATGATTAGTTTATTTATAATTGGTAGACCTCCCGCTGACATTCGTCTGTTTCCTCCTAATCATATGTTTGACCATGGTAGACCTCCCGCAGACATTCGCATGTTTCCTCCTAATCATATGTTTGACCATAGTAGACATCCCGCAGACATTCGCCTGTTTCCTCCTAATCATATGTTTGACCATAGTAGACATCCCGCAGACATTCGCCTGTTTCCTCCTAATCATATGTTTGACCATAGTAGACATCCCGCAGACATTCGCCTGTTTCCTCCTAATCATATATTTGCAAAGTTGTATTTGTATTATGTAATTATTCTGCATTTTCACTGACTTGTTGGTAACCGCTAAATGATTTCGACATGTTGTTTTCCCCCAAGCAAATAACTAAAGTCTGGTCTCTTACATACGTTTTACATGTTATAATTTTTATTTGTATATTCCATCATGTTATCTGTGATGGCTATTTAACAACACCATAGTACAATCGATGCCAATGAAACATTCATGCCAATCTGCTGATTTATATTGAAGCTATTTCTAGAGAACAAAATTTTCGATATTAAATTCTGTTTAAGTTGTAAACCTAGTTAGTACCTACCAACAACAAACCCAATAATACAGTTCTGAACATCGATTTGGGCCCATTTTCTGTTATAAAATTAATTTACTAATGAATAGTGAATGCAACAGACAATTAAAGTATCGTAAACTGGTATGAAGCATGACCATTAGTAGTGGTCTTCACGACAACAATAGTTATTCCTGTTAATTAGATCAGACCTGAATAACGACATCATCAATGGCAGATACAATGTTGTGACAAATAATTGATTTAGGTGTTCGTGCACTTTATTGGACAATCACAATACCAACAAATGAAACCGGAAATTGATAATCTAGTTTTATGCTCTAAGCTTTTTAATGTATATCAAAAACTTTTAAAAATAGATTTACTTCGATATATAAACTATGTTTATTAATACATTGTCGCATACACTTGTATATCGGTACTGTTAATAGAACAGACCAAAGACGATGGAAACTATTTTCATATTATAGTTACTAGTATAAGTTAGCATTTATTGCTCATTGACGTTTGGTACTTTTGGATTTTTTAATATTTGGTTCGCCGAGCACTGCTGATGAAATATTGATGATTGTATGTTGACTACTATGTGTCGTTCGTTGTTGTAAATAGTATTTTTAAAAAATCATCTTCATAATCATTTTTGACTCTATCACATTCTCGTCATCTAAATTTCAAAGCATTTTTCTAATAGATATTGGTACCTACATTTCCTTTGTTCAGTTGTTCGGTTTAAGATGGTATACAAACTGTTACCTCTTATTTTAACTTTCCATAATCGACCTAACAATGTCACTAGTGGAATAGAAATTGCTTACCATTCTTCTTCAATCGAGTTCAAGCCCGGTTTGTGTGTCTCAATCTTAAGTTGTCTATGTAGTTTTGTGTCCTGACTTTTCGTCTTTTTTCTCCTGATGATGTCTGTTTTTCTTCGACTTGCACTTTGGGCCTCGGTGGCGCAATGGTCTAAGTAGTATCACTAGCCTGTCAAGGCTGATGTTGTGAGTTCAAACACCGCACGTTGCAGATGCGACTTGCTTCCTTGGTTTGTTCATTCCATTTTTATAACTTGTATGTGACTATTCTAATCCAGTTTTTAAACTCAGGTTTTGCACATTCAATCTTCGCCGGAAAACATTTAATTATACAATATTGTTCAACCATTTTTTGTATGTCATAATGACTATTGACTCAGTTCATTTTGTAATACATGTGATAACTAGCCAGTGTATATATATAGTATGAGGGCGGTATTTCATCAATTTGAAAGAATTTCGTATATTCTTTTCTTAAAAAATGTATGTGTGTGTGTGTGTTAATTTACATTGAATTACTTAAACCAATACACAAATGTAAGATTTTAGCTTTTAATAATATTTATTTTCAGATTGCAGCTCACCATGGCAGGAATGGTGGATGTATGAAGGCGTGTCAGGTAGGATTTGTTATTTGTTTGAACATTGAAAATGTTGTGAGCTGGCACTTACTTTACCCTACTCACAAATTTTAATTCATAAAAAAGTAGATTTTTTTTTAACTTTTCCTATTTGTGTCTATATTTGACGGACATTATCTTCTGTCTGCTTACACCCTATTACCTCCCTCATAACAACTTTACCTAACAATAATGTTAATACAAAGTGGGGATAAACTATGAACAGATAATCCATGTATATTTCAAAATTTTGTTTAATATTAACTCCACATCTGAACCGCAAATATGTGTCAAAATTGATAATTTTTGTTAAAAAACAACATCAAAGATTTCGATGTTCATTAAATGCATAAATATAATAATGTCTCTAACATTTTTATTCTTATTTGTAAAAGAAGTGCACTAGGACATGCCAAAATATATCCGTTCAAAGTCCGAAAATGACTGTCAACCACAGAGCGTTTTTACGATCATTGACCAAGCTCTAACTATTTCCGAGATAAAAGTGGTCCAAGCCATTGCCTCCAAAAATAAACGATTTCGTGTAAATTCTGATTGGGATGAGATTTGTTTCAATCCACGCCTTCTGAAAATAATCTGCGTTGCTTTTGCAACTTTACATGTATCTTATACCTTTTCTGAGACATTAGAACCTATATAAGAACCCAGCATATGTTAGATTTTATTTCAAAGAATTAAAGGAGCGATAAAGTCCTGAATATATAGGAACTTATTTTATTGAAGTTTGCTTTAAAGGTATTCAGCCTTTGAAATCCCGAAAAGCATATTGTTCTATATTTTTCAACAGATCTGCAGTTATTCTTATTATATCCGGGATATGTTGAACTGTTTACAACATGTTAATATGTCTAGCACATTACCATGTCCACACAAGCTTTCAACATACACTTGTTCAGCTTCCCATTTCCTGCAAATGCTTCTGACATTTCATGGCGTGCTAGGCGTTTTCGTTTATTGAAAAAAAGTGGTAAATTTATTGGCTTTAAAGTTAATTCAACCACCAAGTGTCCTAGGTGCTATTGGCTTAAAATTTGTAACAATTTTCCTGACACAAAAAGTCATTTCCTATGAATAAAAAGTATTATTTTAAATAAATTGGATAGTTTCAAAAATAACTAGATTTGCCATTGCAATCAATAGCGGATGGCACCCATCCCACATTGCACTAAAACTGCAACCATTATGAGAATTTTAAACAGTTAATGCATATAAATACATCACAACGCATCTGTCTGTAAATTTTCCTGAAGTTTGGGCATTTTTAATTTTTTCAATTTTTTGCAGTTTCCATGGCAACGATGGCCATTTTGGAAAATCCAAGTTCAAAAGTCCAATCTTTACTTGCCAGTGTTAAAATTTATATCAATTTTCAATAAGTTTGGAGCATTTTGAAATCTTTGGACATTTTTGCTGTTTCCATGGTAGCTTCAACATTGATTTATGCCATGTTTAACATTTATAAAGTTTCATTCAGGTTTATTAAGGATTCTTAAAGAACATGCTAGATTTATGTTTTTCCCATAGGGTCTATGTTAAACTTGTCCCCGTTTGAATGGCAATGGCAGCCATTTTTGGAATTTCTAAGTACTGTTGGTACCTCGGGGCATCCCTGGCAACATTTGCATAAAGTTTCATTCGGTTGGCTATAATAACGAAAGAATAAGAATTTTGTTTCCATGGTAACGGCGGCCATTTTGAACCATTCTAATGTCTCTTGCACAATTCCACATCTGTGTATGGTGTTTAACATTTCTGTTAAGTTTCATTGTTTTGACAATTTTGATATTTTTTGCTTTGTTTCCATGGTAACGGTAGCCATTTTGGAACTCCAAAATTAACTGTCACATTTAGATTTGCCAGTGAACATTTCTGTAACGTTTTATACATTTTGAGAGAACTTTGAAATTTTTGATATTTTTGATCAGTTTCCATGGCAACATCATCGTTCCAATGAATCTCCAAATCATCCAGAACATGTATGTAGAGGACAACTACATTGTATTAAAACATGATGATTTAACATTAAGGCATACTCAAATTATTCACCAAAAACTAAAATTTTATTTTTTCACTCTTTTTCTGTTTCCATGGTAACAGCGGCTATCTTAAAAGTACCAATCCCGACTGCACTTTTGCATGTGGTGGTTAACATTATTGTAAAGTTCCATTACAATTGGTCCAAAAAATTCCGATAAATAGTGTGGACAAAAATTGTGGAATAATATTAATAATAACTAGATTTGTAATTGCTAGCAATAACGGATGACACCCTTCCCCCTTTGCCAGGATAACGGCAGCCATTTTGAAAATTCCAAAGTCAAAGAGTGCATCTACACATGCACATTAACATTTTTGTAAAGTTTCATTAAGTTTGGAGCATTTTGAAATTTTGCACATTTTTGCAGTTTCCATGGTAACGGCGGCCATTAGGAAAATTCCAAGGTCAAACTGTAAATCAGCATATGCCAGTTACCATTTCTGTAAAGTTTCTTTTACTTTGGAACACTTTGATTTTTTTCGCATTTTTGCTGTTTCCATGGAAACGGTGGCCATTTTGCATTATTCCAATGTGTCTTGCACAACTTCACATAGTGGTCCGCATTATGGTATAGTACCATCAACATTGGTCCATTCAATTTTGAGAAATAGCGTGGACAAAATGTGTGGAAGAATAAAAATAAGAAAAAAAGAAACGTAGAATAACAATATGTCACCCCAACTCCGTTGAGGGTGCCATAATTAAAAAGTCAATAGTTCATGAACAGTTGAAAGGTCTTTCCTTTTTTCTTTTATTGATAGCCTTCTTAGTTCAAAAATATATGGTTGCTAAGGACTTTATGTTCATAACAAGTGGTTGTTAAGGACAAAAATCATTCCTAAGGATAAAAATCATTCCTAAGGATAAAAATCATTCCTAAGGATAAAAATATTACTTCCAGTATTAAAAATGTCATATGTACTATTAAATAGTCTTTCAAGTTAAAAAAATAAGTGATTGCTAAGGACTTATATGTCGTTGCTAGGGACAAAAATATCATTTCCAGTATTAAAAATTTCATATTCATATTATTCAAACCTTCTAAGTTCAAAAATATATGGTTGCTAAGGTGTTTTATGTCGTTGCTAGGGACCTTGACCTCTGATATTACCTAATTTTATAGATCTTATTATGCTGAACATTTTTGCAATTCAAAGTTTCTGTCTATCTCTGACCTCTTTTGAGTTATAAGCAAAAAATCAACATTTCGGACCCGAAAAACAGTTTTGGTGTCCTAGGTCCATAATAGTTGGTCCAATAATTTTCAATCCAACATAACAAATGTAGATCTCGCCAAGACACACATTTTCTCTGTAAAATTTTATCAGCCATCTTTTAAGGTTATTGTGTAAATCCGATAACAAGCTAACGTCAAAATCTAGGTCATGACCTTGACCTTTGACCTTAAGTCAATTTTCATGGTCACGTAAATTGATGATCATTGGTGAAGATCCTAGGTGGCTACAACTTACGGTTTCTGAGTTTTAGTGGCCAACCGACATTGGTTAATTTTCAAAGGGGCATAACCCTACCTAAGATCTTTAAATCTTTCAATCCAAATGTAACGAAGAACCAAGGTCTGCTCCTGAACAAATTCCACCCTTCGTTTTTTTTTCTACCTATTATGATTATGGAGTTAGAATGATAACAAGGTTTTCGGTGTTAGAGGAGATAACCGCTATAAAGGAAATGTTACGGGGTCGTGCCTTCACCACAAGATAGCTTTTGGTCACCCAAAACTAGATACCTAATATCATTTTAACATGTCGCGTACTTTTTTTGGGCCGATAACTAGATTCGTAATTGCTAGCAATAACGGATGGCACCCTCGTTCCCCATTGCCAGAATATCGGCAGCCATTTTGAATATTCCAAAGTCGAACATCGAATCTATATATGCCAGGTACCAAAACTGTAAATTTTCAGAAAGTTTGGAGCATTTTGAAATTTTTGAAGTTTTTGAAACTTTTGCTGTTTCCAAAATTCTAAAAGCAGACATTTTATTGCCATGTGCCATGTTAAATATCCATACAGTTTCATTAACTTTGGTGTAATATTTTAAAGAAAATGCAGATTTAATGCATTTTCCCATAGGGTCAATGTAATACTTTTCCCCTGTTTCCATGACAACAGCGGTCATTTTGGAATATCTGAATATTGTCTAAACATCTAGGCATACTGGGTTACATTTCCAAAAAGTTTCATCCAGTTTGGTTTTATAATGAAAGATTTAGCAATTTTGACACTTTTGCTGTTACCATGGTAATGGCAGCCATTTTGAAAATTCCAAGTGCAAAATGCAACTCTGCTCATGCCAGTTACCATTTCTGTGAAGTTTCATCCAGTTTGGAACACTTTGATTATTTTCGGATTTTTGCTGTTTCCATGGAAACGGCAGCCATCTTGTGCATTCCAAAGTCAGGTGCACAACTTCACATGCTGGCCTACATTATGGTATAGTTCCATCAATATTGGTCCATTCAGTTCCAAGAAATTGCGTGGACAAAATGTGTGGAAAAAGAATAAGTAAAAAAGAAACGTAGAACTAGAATTGCCATTGCAAGCAATAGCGGATGTCAGCCTGGTTCGCCAATTGACACTAAAAAGCAGCAATTTCGAAATTTTCCATCAGTGAATGCAGATTTATGCATGGCAACAAATCTATCTGTTGGTTTTTAAAGCGTTTGGTATGTTTTGTTTTGTTTTTAATAGTGATGTTTCCATGGTAACGGCGGCCATTTTGGAAACAACAAAGTCTAAAGTCAAGTCTACATATACTAGGCAACATTTGTTTTAAATTCTGTTGAATTTTGAGCATTTTGATTTTTTTCATATTTTTGCTGTTTCCATGGTAACGGCCGCCATTTTAAAAATTCCAAAGTCAAACTACTGCTGCATATTGCGCTCCCCATAATAATATACCATCGTATAACATTAAATGTCTGTAGATTCTGGAATGTTCCATGAAATAGTGTACATGGGTCTCTTAATATCATAGAAGTTTCATATAATTTAGAACACATTTCTATTTTTCACATTTTTGCTGTTTCCATGGCAATGGCAGCCATTTATTTAATTCCAAAGTCAGGTGCACAACAACACATGGTGGTTAACATTATGTTATAGTTCAATCAAAATTGGTTCATTTAACTCCGAGAACTAAGCTGGACAAAAAGGTGTGGTATAAGAATAATAAAAAAAGAATCGTACAATAACAATATGTCACCCGACCTCCGTCAGGGTGACATAATAACTATACGTCACCCCAGCTCCGTTGAGGGTGCAATAATAAAAAAAAAAGAATGGAACATTAACAATATGTCACCCGATATCCGTCAGGGTGACATAAAAAAGAAACCTAGAATAACAATATGTCACCCCAACTCCGTTGAGGGTGCCATAATAATAATAAGAAAAAAAAGAACGGAACAATAACAATATGCTACCCCAACTCCGTTGAGGGTGCTATAATAAGCAATTGGATTTTCTAGCTATTGAAAAAATCGGTAAGCTCGTATTCTGAAATATTTTCGATTCCCGTCTTGGTAGTTATTTCGGTATTTAAACTCAATACTTTTGGTGATATAATTGATATTTAGCAAAGCAAGAAGTCTCTTGTTTCGAAATTCCGTAAACATAATAGAAACTTTTTCGCTACTGAAAGTCGCTGCAAATGAATAATTACCCATTCTCTATATAACTCAAACATCACATGCAACTCAATTTATAGAAGGTTTGAAGGTTTTATTTGTTTCATTGTGTTTATTACTTAATAAATAATCAGATTTAATTAAACATTATTGTTATTTGACAACAAGCATTACTATATTAAGTCTAAATAAAATTCACATCTAACACCGCAAACACAGCAGTAATAAAACACAGACAAATACAACTGCATCGTTTTATTCCACTTATTATGACACTGAACGTCAATGTTTGATGAATTCACGTGTAATAATCAAAGTTTATGCTAATCTAAATACATCCCATGGCGAGCAACACAAAGAGTTTGATGAAATAATAACTATAAATTATTCAAATAACAAACATTTTATTATTATTTTTAAAAGCAGACTTCAATAAAAACAAATAACGTGCATAACCAGTCAAAAACTCTAGAGAGAAGAATATGTTCCTAATGGATAAAATGGATTTACTGTAATAAATGAACCAATCATAGAAGTAAAGCTTATATACATTTTTGTTGATGTTGAATTAAGAATTTATGCGATAAAAATAGAAGACCAATTGACAAGTATATGCTTATGATGAATGGCACTGACAGTATATCATTTTTTATTCCTGTTCAAAATGATTAGTTCGTGTACAGTATGACATAAGATTTATGTATGATTATTGGTGAAGGGAATCTGTCCGAGTAGAATATTTTATTAGAATAATTTATACTCTGAAAGCTATGCTAATATCGTGTATTTATTACACATCATTCACATTTTTTGTATAACAATTAAAGTGTCGAGCAAAACGTAACGCATACACTCTAGAGATGGCAGCATTAATTACTGCAACAAGCTCAGTTTCGCTGCTGTAGGACTATCTGTCCCCGAGAATACAATCTGCCAGGTAGCCAAAGATTCGTCACTTGCATGCTTCGAATTATACATTTTGTTTGTAAATCCATTTCATAAAATTATGTCATTGTGCTTATACAACGGTTGTTACTACCTAAAGCAACATAGACTTTAAATAATTTCACCATGTTCAATAAGGACCCTTTTAGTTTTATTGCTTTTGCGCGTTTCATAATTGTGCTTTAAAGCTTTTAAACATTTTCGTCATGAGCGTATCTGATGAAGGTTATTACAGAAACAGAAACACTTGTTGGTTTGTACGGAAATCAGATCATTAGTTTTTGCCCTTATTAATCTCGCCGCTCCTAGTGATATTTAAGTGATTAAAACTGTCATAGATTTTACCTAATGACATTGTCATATGAATATTTTATTTATTTAGTCTGTATTTTTACTTCTGTAACATTCCTTGATAAATGGGCAACATTTAATGGATAATTCATTTCATGCAGGGGCGACATTAAAAGTGATAGTATATCAAGGATATAATGATATGAAAACGAAGTTCTCGGAAAATCGAATAAGTTTCAAGTCGTATCAGACTCAATAATTCCAATTAAACAATAAAAATACCACATCTCCACAAGTATTATAGAAAACTATACATATATCATAAAAACTATGAAATGGCAAATGAACACCGCCAAAACCGATGATAAACTTCTGCAACTTCTGCTTTTTGTGTTTGTCTTGCTTTTCTTTTACATTGTTATTTTTATATATTCCCAGGTCCTCATAACTGGGGAAAAATTAACACAAAGTGGATATTATGCAGTAAAGGAAAGAACCAATCACCAATAAATATCGAACCAAAGGATTTACTTTTTGATCCAGGCTTAAAGTACATCAAGTTAACTGGAAAACAGGTAAATAAATAAACAAAGCCAGATTTTACTAGCATTAACATTATTTGAATTAATAACATATTTTGAATAGTTTAACTACAATTTGGATGTCTTTTATTGATATTCATAGACTTGAGCAACATTTCAACGAATCCTTTGTAGCCATATCCTCAAACCTTTTTGCATTTCATTAAATAATTTAGGTCTACAGTCTGTATATATCAGACACGAAATCTTTCAATTTTGAGACACAATTCTAGCCTATTCGTCCCAAGTCTTTTAAATAATTGTATCAAGATTGTCTTCAACAACGGTGGATATAAGTGACCATGGATGTATATAAAATTGTTGCATATACTTTAAGTATACCATTTTGACGCTTTCATATTCAAATTACACTAATTTCGATCAACTTTAGGATTTTGACCTCGATAGTGATACAAATTCAAGAAACATTTGGCATATATCTTTGTAAATTTATTCAACATAATTTTTATTTAAACTTAAAACCGTTAGTTATTGCTGATTGAAACAAAAACAAAGGACCAACAAAACAGCTGACATTAATGGTAATATTTTATTTGTATGTGGAAACATTTCAACATCTTTCAGTTGATATAGTATTAAAAGTTTCTGTTTTCTATCAAATGTTCTTGATAGATGGTTTCTGCGTGTATGGAAGCTTCTGAATCCATAATTTTTACACGAAAAGTTGTTTCCAATTTTAAAGGGCCTCCATCGTAACATTTACGGAATACCAGTGTTATAAACCGCTGCATATATGTTTTATTTTTGATGGTCGCAATCTCGTTTATGACTCATCCCGGATCTGTATATGCAGCTTGAAAGTATCCACTGTAATCACTAGAGTAGATGCCCATCCTGCACATTCAATAATTACATTGATAATTACATATATTATCACTATAATGTAATAATGATACACGGTGTCGAAGAGGGAAGTGATATTGATCGTCAAAACTATAGTACGAATGGTACATATTCAATGATACATATTCATAATGATCCCATAACCCGTCATTCGCAGTGAAAGTTGAAAAACGTTAGTTTTCTCTGTGCGCGGATATAGCATTTATAGCTTAAGAAACAAAATAAAGTTATACGATTTTTTTTTCTGTTTGTGATAACATCCTGAATCTTGTATTTCAGATAAACGGCACACTTGTAAATAAAGGAACAGATTTAACTTTTGAACTGCATTCAACAAGCAAAGTTTTGATATCTTTAGGTCCTTTATCGTACGTTTATAGATTACATCAAGTCAAGTTCCATTTTGGAGGAAATGATAATTTTGGTTCTGAACATTCTGTAGATGGTAAACATTTTGCTGCCGAGGTAATTATTTTTTATTGATTTGTTTAATAATGAAAACACAGTAAAACTGATTTGTAATGTTGTGTTTTACTTCATTGTAATATAATATATACTAGTAGCCAACTGATAACATTTTATTATTGTTATGGAATCGTTCTCTAACGTAAAACTTTCTTTTAGTTCTATTGTTAACTGTTTTAATGCATGTACAGAGTGAAATATGTAAACATTACCTATATTATGGATGTATAAGTAGTCAACGAATGTAGTATTGGTATATTAAACCAATGCTTTGACGTCAGATTTTCTCATTTAAAAATCATGAGCCTGGTATCTTTGATGAGTTTTTATAGTAGGTTCTCTTCATAGATTATAAACTAATAGAGTTTGTGTGTTCCATTCAATTATGTTTGAATTGAGTAAAACAAGTATCTTGTCTTAGGAAGGGATAAATCCTACTTTGTAAAAAATCACTCTGATTCAAATAAAAAATTCTCTGAAACTGACATTATCAAGATGCTTGATTTCTTGATTGACAACATATTTGTTACGTTTGGAGGACGTGTTTTTCAACCAACAATCGGAACTCCCACGGGAACCAACTGTACCCCTCTTCTTGTCGACTTGCGCCTTTGTTCATATGAGGCTGACTTCACACAAGAACTTCTAAGGAAGAAAGAAAAGAAGTTAGCAGTATCCTTTAACTTTACTCTCTGCTATATAGATGATGTTCTCTCACTTAATAATTCAAAATTTGGTGACTATGTTGAACGCATCTATCCCATCGAACTTGAGATAAGGATATAACAGAAACAGTCAAGTCTGCCTCATATCTTGACTTACATCTAAAAATTGACTATAAGGGTTCAAAACAAAACTTTACGACAGAAGAGATGATTTCAGCTTCCCAATTAAGAACTTTCCATTTCTATGTAGCAACATTTTAGCAGGGCCTGCATACGGAGTATATATCTCCCAGTTGATACGATATTCCAGGGCCTGTATTTCCTATCATGATTTTCTTGATAGAGGGTTGATGCTCACAAGAAAGCTATTAAACCAAGAGTTTCAAGTGGCGAACTTGAAGTCAACCCTTCGTGTTTTGGGGAGTTTTTGTTTGACTGTTAGTCTTCTTTTTTGTTGTTGCTAAGATTGTTTGTCTTTCTTCGACTAATGGTTTTGTTTCTTCTTGGGCTCTGTTCAAGATAAAGTGTAGGTATAACTCTGAAAGTAAGAAATATTTAAAGAGAAATCATTCAATCCACATCACTTAAAACAATTTGCTTTTTCATGTTATTGTTTTCCTTGTTAAGCATGAGAAAGGCATTAAATTTTTTTTAAACAATGCAGTTTCAAATAAAGTAGAGTATATCATTGTCAAATACTATTATGTTTAGAAGGTAAATGATTTATCTCGCCGGCGGTTTTAAAACTAGAACATTTAACATGCTAAAAAATTAACTTCTTTCAAATTTAGTGTCTAATGTTTTTATTGTTTTTAAGCATAAAAGAATTGTTCATGATATTGATATTTGTTTTTTCGTTTTTGTTTTTTTTTGGTATTGGGAAATCTCGATTTGAGTCTCTTTCTGTTTATCTCATTTTTGGGTTGCAATATTTTTGTTGTGCCTATTTATTAACAATAAAATGGATTAAACATATTTCAAGTCAGAATCATTAGTTAATACTTTAGCAAATCAGTTAGTATTTACAAGTTAAAGATAATATTCATATATTCTATATTAAGCAACATATTTTATTAGATCCCCACATCTATGGTATGTTGGGGAGTCTTTTCCATGACATAATATAAATCTTCTTTCTTTTCATATAGATACAGCTGATGTTTTATAATTCTGATTTGTATACAAATTTTACACAAGCTGTTAATTTGTCAAGAGGTGTTGTGATATTAGCAATTTTTGTAAAAGTGAGTACTAGATACATTCAGATTGAACAAAATTAGTTTAAACAAGTGTTTTATCTTAACATGAATAAATCTAGGAACGATACTATTTCACAGTTGAAAGGGTTCTGTTCTGTTATTAAACATTGATTTTCCTTATTTCCATAAAAGAACTATATTTAAACAATTTATCAAAAAATATGTAGACCAAAAATAAATCAAAGGAATTAGAATAACTTTTCCGATGTATTACCTTATAAAACATATGCATGGTAATAAATTAATTTCTTTCAACTAATATCTGACTTCTTTATTCCTTTAACAAAGGATTGCAATTCACTGATTTGTAATTGCAATTATTTCTTTGTAACATTTATTTCTATTGGGAATAGACTCCCTTCGCCGCGAAACTATTTTATCACAAGCCGTTTTCCATGCTATAAATATTAGATTATCCCTAATGATATAAATCAAATATTTGCCTTCCTATAATTAATTCTTATGATATAGTATGAGGTCTTTTGAAATAATTGTTTTTATTGGATGTTAGTCAATACGTGAAAAAGTATCGACTATTTCCACAGCTGTTTTTTTTTTACAAATCTATCGTTAATTGATTACAAACATCATCTATAAGTCAGTTTTAAACATGATGGAATATTAGTGGGACGCACATATAAAAAAAAGAAGAAACCAAATACCTCAACCATAGTCTCTCGATGCTGTCAAGATTGTCATATTCTGATTAAGAGCTGTAGTTATTCTTCGATTGCTAACTTAATCTCTTTCAAGACCATAGTATCTCTCTGAATAAAATCAGAAACTTCATCAAAACCCCATTCCTAAATGTAAGCAATAGATACCCGGTTTAATGCAGTATCATGAATTTTATCTGGCACCTTATGCATTAACCTGAATTACGAATAAACTGTGAAGCGAAATACATCATTCACCATATTATTGATGGTTTTGATTAAAAATGATCTAAATCAAAACCCGTTGTTACCATATTACATTTAAGAGTCGTTTGCTGTTAGCATGTGCAATTATCGTACTTTTAAAGAGTTTTACTGACTTTCTGTGAAAAGTGTGATTTAAAATAAAATGTCCTCAGGTAATAAAACAGATAACGATATGATTTAATTTATCGAATAAGATTAAGTTTTGTTATAACACTTCAATATAACAATATTTTCATTAGGTGAAAGACAACGAAAACCACAACGAGCTATCCAAATTAACAAACTTAATTGAAGATGTGCGATATAAAGGTAATATTTCTATCAACTAGTATAATTACCAAGAAAAAGCATATTTTTCATGAACGCTACATGTGTACTGAACTAACTAAAATTTTCTGTTTTTTTATTATTTATTTTTTATATTATAAAGAACAATTAGGAAAAAATATTTCTGCTTGAAAAATATTTTGTTTGAATTTAAAGCTACTGAATCCTGATGTAAGTAGTTAAAGTTGAACTCTAAACAAAATATACAACTGGTTGACAGTAAAAGAACATTTCTTTGCTAACAAGGTAAAGGCTATGTTCATTTCTATTGAGTTGTTTAGGACTTAATTGTAAGCATAAAGGTGTGTACTCATTTCAGTTCATATGGTACAAATATATATAGAATAACAGTCATATTGGATGACTTCAAACTCAGAATCTATGAAAAATATTATGATTTCAACTTTCAAATTGTTAACTGCCAATTTCCCAGCAGTAACACAATCTCTTCTCTATTGTATAGCGTTTGTATATCTCACATAATACATTACGCACACGCATGTTCACACTACACGGCTCTCATTAACATGGGTGTGCTCCTGACACAAATACCGCCCCAACAGAGTTATGAGGAAAACGACTGAAATCGACATATCATAAGCTTAACGGTCACCATCAAGAATTGGTTATCTGATACGATGTGTCTTTGCCTTAAATCTCTAGCGACACGTGTGTGCAGTCTTAGATCATCAACAGAGTTCGTCAAATCTATAATTAATTATGCCTTATTCTCGATTGTTACATATTGAGTGAGTGTGGATTCGCATGGCGGGTGATACATGCATAACAGGAGACGTTTAACTTCTCGAGACACCCGGTCTCGCTCTTTTGGAGTTTGGTAAATTACTGTCGCCTCTTATATTTGCTTGTGAAGTAATCTAAATTTTTATGTTTTGAATATGTTTCATCCTATTTTTTCCTAATGACAACATTAGAATTACAGGAAAATTTACATTTTCCGATTCAAATTAAATATTCTATAATTTTATTTTATTCTAGAAATTCAGTATTAATTTTCAAGACTCAACCGTTTAGGTATTGTTTAAAAAAACGATACTGGGACTTTATAATTTGATGCGTCCAACGTGCTATTCAGGATAATGCCTTTATCAGGAACGCTCAAAGTCAAATATTTGAAATCCTAGGATTTTTGAGTACCGAAACAGGTGGGGCGCTATATGACCAAAAGGGAATAATGGGGAAATCCATCTAACATCTAGCGTTTAATCTGCAAATTAATAATCTATGAAAAAATATCGACTGTTGAAAAAGAAGAAAAAAAAACAAACAAAACAAACATAAGAAACAAACATAAGAAACAAACATAAAAAACAAACAAAAGAAACAAACAAATCAATCGATGAACAGAAGGATGGATTGTGCATCTCATTTGTGCAACCACTAAAAAATTAGATGCCCAAGTCAACAGAGTGTAGTGTATGATGTTTTAACCATTGGGTAAAGTAAGTAAAAATAAACTACAACAAACATTAAAATTATAGATACTACTTGAATATAGTTTCCAAAATTGATTCGATATTTTCAAAAATTGAAGAAAAATCTTACTATATTTTTCAAATATTAATTTTTGAAATTTGTTTTCAAGGTGAACAAACAGATGTCAATAATATAAATATACTGAAGCTTATTCCGGATAGTAGACATTATATGACATATGATGGTTCCATAACACAACCCGGTTGCCAGGAAACAGTCACGTGGATAATTATGAATCGACCTATCACTGTATCAAAAGATCAGGTGAGGCGAGTACTCTTGTAAAACAGATCTGAAACTAATGACTACTTATAGATATTTAACATTAGTACCTATGGTTTATATTTTAAAAAATAAAATTTTACTCATAGTTTAAATGTTTTGCATCCGTGAGCAAACCATATAACAGGTAAAGTTATGATAGTCAACGGTCAAAATTGATACACTTTAGAATTAAAGTTAAATGCATATCATGATTCGAATTCAAATACCATTGTAATCCCTACTCTTGAAAGCTTGTAACAAGTTAAAAATCTGTCTCTTAAAAGAGGTTATGAACGGAAAGTCCTTGTGACAATACTTCTGCGATCAATTTATCACACTGAAAACGAGGCATTTGTTTCATTTGATAATATTAAGAACCATATGTGGCGTACCATAAGGTGGCTAAATTTCATGTTTATAAAAACGTCGAATATATTATTGGAATCAACGTAAATAAAGGCAACAGTAGTATACCGCTGTTCGAAATTCCTAAATCGATTGAGAAAAAAACAGATCCGGGTTACAAACTAAAACTGAGGGAAACACAGCAAATATAAGAGGAAAACTACGACACAACAGAAACACAACATTAAAATGTAACACACACAGAAACGTTGCCTTAATGATACTTTATTGACAGTATCGCTAATATCAACATTAAATGATATACACAATTCTTTCTGGGAATCTCACAAGTATATACGCATATTTGTATATTCATAAATGTATTTAAATTATTTGCAGTGCTTCATTTAATTTGTGGGTCCATTCTAAACATTCCATGTGCTATATAACCATTATGAACTGGTTGACATATACGATATTTTCATGTTTTACTCACTAGCGACATACCTTTACGGTCGTTTAGATCTTTAGATACTGGAATGCTTTGTGAATTTACAGATTGTGTTCTATTTCCCTGTTGTGACATATTGACTGAGTGTTGATTTGCATGAGGGCTGATGCATGCATAGCAAGAAGTGCTTACTCTGTCGAAGCATCATGTCTTACTATTTTGAAGTTCAAGTGATCCCTTTGGGTCTTTTGTACCTTGATTTGTATGTTGTAAATGGGTTGTTAAGATTTTAACATCAGTAAACTAATGTTGCCTATAATTTACATACACATTACATGTATTACGATCTGGACAGACCATGTCTGAACGCAATAATATACATAAAAACGTTCGTCAAAGTGTCGTTGTAATAAGTGAAGATTTGTTTTCAACGAAAGTATCCATAAAAATTACAAATCAAATCAAAATGTCGAAATTCGTAAACCAAAAACAAGACTATAACAACAACAAAAAAAGACATATACCAGTATTTTACAAAACAAGTGCGCTTACTTTTTTTATTCGAGGCGCTTGTTTTGTAGGCGCACCCGGCTAAGTTCCTTTGAGAGTTCATGTGATTCTCTTCCGTTTTTGGTTTTTTTTTTACATGTGATTGTATCTGTTTAAGAGTTTATGAAATTTATGTATCGATAAACTACTGTTGTCGCTATGTAAACTACTCTAAGAAATCCAGATTGATATGACTGTATGAATGGCATGAACAGTATCTTAATAATAAAAAATAAACTTATTCATTGGACAGGTTCAAAATAATTTAAGTTTTGAACTGATATACGAGAATGCAATGTTTAATAAATTCAATATTGACATGTTACTGTGGCTTAAACAAATAAAACAAAAATGGTTATTTGAATGCATTTAATCGTAAAATAAATCAGGAAAATCGTATTATGTTTCGAGATTGAATAATAAAAGTGAGGAATTATAATTTCATACATAAAACTATAAAAAAAAAGGAAACAACACGTTATAAATTTCATGCGTCCGAAGAGCTTTTCTGGATTTACCTTCATCAGGAACGCTCAAAGCCGAATATTTGAGAGCCAAGGATTTATAAGAACCGAAAAAGTTGAGGAGCTAAATAACCATAAAGGACCTAAAAAAAATAGCCAAATCCATCTAAGGTCAACTTTGCATGAGAGACTTAAAACCTTAGTTTCTAACAATTTCAAAATTTATTAACGAACAATTTTAGAAAGGTTTGTTATGAATCATGTCAGTACTTCGACTGATGATACCCTCGAGGACTGATAGTCCACCAGCAGGTATCGACCGAGTGCTGTAAAAAATGAAAACAACACATTATATATTTCATGCGGCCGAAGCGCTTTTCTGTATTTACCCTCATATATAAATTAACAGAAGTTCTTGTCAAATGACAGTGACAAATTATCGAACAGAAGGTGTAAAAGTCGGTCATATGTGATATGATAAGGACCTATTATGACCCCAATTTTTGAACAATGTTGAAAAATGTTAATTGTATGTAAGAAAATAACCGAAAAAAAGTAAAATAAGAATATCGAACTACAAGGCAGTTTGAGAGAGACAAAAAAAAAAGCTTTCGTTTAGACTTTGTTTCATAATCTTTATTATGTACAATTTTTAGTGTTTTACACACGTACTCACAGTCAATTTTTAAATAAAGCAATTAAGAATATTGGTGATATTTGCCAGTTATTTTATCGGTCGACATTCACTTATTGGTTAACGAATACGGTATTTCTGTGTCTCAACTATTCGGATACATATTTTCACAGAGATACACCTGCCGGAATTGTGAGGATTCTAGACGGTGCGATACCTGGTACGTCGACAGGGTACGCGAATCTTGCTATGTATACATACATTGCGAATAAACTCATATCATATATACCAGGATTAAAAATGTGTTCACTAGACGCGCATTTCGTCTACAAAAGACTCATCAGTGTCACTCGAATCAAAAAAGTTTTACAGGCAAAATAAAGTACAAAGTTGAACAGCGTTGGCGAAAAATTGGAAAATGTTTTAAAAATATTTTTGATAATTAAAGCTCTTCCATGCAATATGTAAAATACCTTTTTTTAATTTCTTGCCGCTGAAAAGAAAATTGACGGAATAAAACGTCTTAAACTGAAATAAAAATCATATAAATTTAAGTTGTTCATGCCTGCAGAGAATGGTGGTTTTTTCTTCATTTTATATAGAGTTTTTGTTAAATTAAAAGTTTGTATATCTTCGGTTGAATTTCTTTTGGAAAGACGCACTCTTGAAAAAACGGGTGTACATATTAGTATCTAAATTGTTTGATGTAGTTATATGACATGATTCAGATTTTATTCCAGTTTCTGGATGAACTACTTCGTGATATATTGTCGTCTTTAAATTTTTAAAATACTTTAAAACTCTTGAGTTGTAAGCATTTCATATATTCCTGTACGTTTTATTATTTTTGTATATCTATGATGATTGTGTCAAAATAAAAAGTTAAATGAAATAAAATGATGACATTTTTTTTAAAGGAGACAAAGATCAACAATCATTTGTTTTTATTTATCATGATAATCTAAGAATAGTAATCAGTCTTTATTCAAATCTAGAGACTGTCATATTTTCATCGTTTTCCCAAGTATAAACGTGTTGATTCATCTATTATGTAAAACATATGGCATACAGTAATTCTTGGACCTGTTGTTCTACAGATTTATTCCCTGAGGACTTTACGTCAGGATTTGCCGGAAAACCCTCAAGCATTGATGTTCAACAACTACAGACCAACACAAACATTAAACCAAAGAACTGTTAGAACTAATATTAATTTTGTAAGTAATCCAAATAGGTGTCTGTATGCTTTTCAAAAAGTAAACATATTGAAAACCCTGCTCAACAGATGTATGATCGGATCGAGATATACATAAGAAAAGGACGAGGATTCAAAAGAACACAAACAACACAATGACAAAAAAAAAGTCTAAAAGCCAGACAACAGTTCACAAACCACTACACATAAACTTAAAAAGTGTGCAACACGTATAGCTTTGCAATTAATCTTATTTACAACATGTCATCAAGGATGACAATGATTCTTTCCATACAGAATGTTTATAGATATAGGAATATGTGGTATGAGTGCCAATGAGACAACTCTCCATCCAAGTTACAATTTATAAAAGTAAACCATTATAGGTCAAGGTACGGCCTTCAACAAGGAGCATTGGCTCACACCGAACAGCAAGCTATAAAGGGCCCCAAAAAATTACTAGTGTAAAACCATTCAAACGGAAAAACCAACGGTCTAATCTATATAAAAACGAGAAACGAGAAACACGTATGAACTACATAAACAGACGACAACTACTGTAATCAGATTATACATACATAACTATGCCCGAGCCGACAGCTACACAAGGCATTCACTATACATTTACTGGTCTTAAATTCATCCCATCAAGTTTAGAACTGAATTTCTTGTACCTGACCTCGCTCCCTCAGCGGTATTTGAACTCAACCGGCAATACCTTCTTATATCATTTTATCGCACCTAGGGTAAATTAGTGACGTTATGATTGGTTTAACGCCGTCACGTGTTGACTCCCTATGAATTCGTTGGGGTCAGTATATTTCATATGGGTTTATGACGTCACGTCTACTATTTATGGTGAAGTCATCTTTTAATGTTATTGTATTTCATTGTTTATTTTTATACAAAACTTGGCAGGAAAAGTCCTCGTTATACGGTTTATTACTGACCCCCTACGGATCCATAGAGGGTTCGCAAAATCCATAGGGGATTCGGACTTCAGCTTCAACCCCTATGGATTTTACTTACCAACTATGGATCCATACAGGGTGGTTAGTAGCATATCGTATAACTTATAGTATGTTAAAATGCTTGATTGACAACATATTTGCTGAGATTGATGGATTTGTATTTTTTTTTTAAACAGTCCATTAGTTATTAATTGTGCATCCCTACTGACCGACTTGTTTTTGTATTCATTTAAAGTGAAATTCAGACAACAACTTCTCAATGACAAAATATTTTGCAAGTTCTTTAATTTCACTATTACTAATGTTAAAGTATATGTAGATATATTTATGATGTCATGTCACTGAATAATCCATATTTTGGGAATGCTTGATTCTCGTATATCCCAGTGAATTTGAGATTAAGGATACTACCGAAACTAGAAAGTCTGCTTCATATATTGATCTTTTCCTCGATCTTGACAGATGGACGACTTCAAACTAGATTCTATGACAGACTTCCCATTTACTATAGCAGTAACATACCTTTTGCTCCATCGTATTGAGTGTACATATCTCAATTGATATGTTACGCTTGTGAATTATCATACTTCATTCTTTATCTGGGTATGCTCTTTACACAAAAACTGCTCCAACAGAGTTACAGTCACAATCACGAATTGGATGACCGATACAATGTATCGGTATCTCACAATTCACTAACGACATGTTTAAGCAATCTTAGATTTTTACATACCCGAAAAGTCATCTAATTTGTAATTTTACCGATTTTGTGACATTTTCACTGAACGTGAAGTCACATGGCAGTTGATGCAAGCATAGCAGCAGACGCTGTCCGTATCGACTCACCGGTCTCGCTTCTTTTGGAGTTCATGCGATTCCCTCTGTTTTTGTTTGTTACCTTGATTTGTCTTCTTACTCGATACTAAGAGTTTTGAACATCGGTAAACTACTATTGTCCACGTGACATGACATGTAGTCCTGATTTGTCTACCTACAATTTCATGTACGTTTTCGGTCACGAAACTTTATTTTTATACCAAAAATATATCGACCTCTAAATTCTGTGTAATAAAAATCTAATTCGAGCGTCACTGATGAGTCTTTGGTAGACGAAATGCGTGGCTGATGTAGAAAATGTTAAACATGGTATCTCTTATGTGTTATTTTGACAATTTTTTGTTTATATCTTTGAGATATGTTTCTGAGGTCAGAATTTCCAAGAATGTCTCTTTAATTAAGAATTGTCCATGTAATTTTTGTAGATTTTATTTACTTCGCATCAAACTCTTAAATGGGATGAATTCGGGGAAAAAAATGTCAAACATAGACACATTCTACCGCCGCGATCCCAGGTCAAGTTCGTTCGATACATATTTCGTTCCTACTTTTATCACTTACATGTGTTTTTTGTTCAAATCGGGACAACCCGCACACTTTTGGCTTCGAATGTATACTTGATTTTCTTTCACCAAAAACTTGTCTAGAGTCAATTTCTGGGATAGCTGATTAATTAAAAGATATCATAAAACAGAGAATAGCTAATGTTTTTGAGTGTCATCTTTAGCAGAGGTAGACAAAGTATTAGTTTAGGTAAAATTTAAAACTCGTTAATTATATAGTAAATCATAACAAATTAGGAAACATTGACTTCTGAGGAAACGATAACAAGAAGTGGTATAATTCGATTTATAGCCTCTGTCGTTTTATATAATTGCTTGGTTTGATGTAAATGTCGCGTGTTTTAATTATGTAAACCACTTTCTCATAAATAATATTGATATATATAACAAAATATAATATAATTATGGATATTTGGTCTTTGAAAACATATGTTCCTCGAATGTATGCAGAGAACTTTGGTATTTCATGTGTTATTTATGGACGTGGTTGTTCTTTATCTTTTGTCAAAGAAATGGAATTTATATTACATGATAATGAATTATTCAGAGAGAAGATGTTAAAGAATCCTTTGTTTGACATTGTAGTAATTAAATTACCACAAAGAATGGTTTGTGTGTTTGTTATATAGCTTTTAATAAAGATTTTTTTTATTTACGAAGACAAGAAGCAGTACTGACACGCATTCTCGCGGTATAAAGGTCAAGGTTTTATTGTAATTATGTACAATTCAAAGGCATCAAACAGAATATTGGAGAAGTTCAACAAGAAATTATACTTGACAACTATTTTGATACAACAACTCATTCAATATTGAAACGTTTGGGTTTTTATGGTTGTATTGATGACGTTCTGGTGTAATCTAAGACATTCTCAATACATATAACATTCGTTTTTATCCAAATGATTAAAGGATTATCTAACTTAACGTTTTCATATTCGGTAAAGATAACAGTATTTTTGGAATAAGCTACATTAAAAAAAGGTAAAGAACAGTTATATCTGAAAAAAATATTCGGAGATAAGAAAATATTTTACAATTATCCTTAACTATAAAAAAGAGAAAAACAATATATCATTAACTCAATACACTTCGAAAGCAACTTGTCTAAAGAATAATAATTGTGGAAGGTTATTATTACGTTAAATCCTGTTCGTAAATTGATTATATGAGTTGTAATATACAGCCTTATATATCATGACGTAATTGTTTAACTAAAATAAGATATTTAGAGGATAGCAAGTTGGGCTATCAAATATAAGTCGAAGAAAACAGACAACAAAATGTCCTAGAAAAAAAAACGACAAAAAGACAATTAAAGATAAATAAAACACTACAAAGAAAACTAAGGGTTCATATGAATACTATTAAGAAACGGGACTAACCGAAAGGGTCCCACTTATGACTCATGTTAAAATATGCTAGAGTCATGTCAGGCGATAAGACATACAGCGTTTGCGATATGTCAAATATGTCTTTAACCCTAAGAAACAAACCCGATTTGTAACCAACGGTAAATGTAAATTACCTCACCATAAAAACTTAGTGAATGGGAAAATTTAACATGCAAAAATATTTTTTTTTGGGGGGAGGGGGGCAAAGTATACGAAAGAAAGTTATCGGCAGATACAACACAGACATTGGAAATGAAAATGCTTCATTGTTTGTTCGGCAAGCAGGTTGTTAGTATGGATCTCTTAATAAAATATTATCAAGACAGAGTCTTTTTTAAGCTCCTGTGTTTTCTCTCACTGTACACGCTTTTAATCGTTATCATTTATTTTCTCAGGTTGTTAAGGGGTGTTCTATGCAGCGGGATATGCAATATAAAGGTAAGATTGACCATAATCAAAACATTTTTTACACAGTAAATTATTTCTATTGCAAATTCATCTCAATATTTATTTGTTAAAGATCCCTTTACAATGGCACATCAAACATGACAATTTCTTTAAACTTTAATAATTGTAAGGCATTATGCATCGACGTCACTGAACTATCACCTTAAATATGCCTGCTTTATATGTCTTTTGTACTTTATATTGTCATATTATTTAAAAGTACACCCTCGATATTGATATTCACAATCTGTAATTGTTACATCAATATAATTTCTTCTACCATATTAAACATTCTAAACAATAAATTGTAATCTACCTAGTTGCATGTTCTTATCTCATCATGTCAGTCAGCGTTATAACAAATTGGTATTTAACTTTTTATTTAAATAGCCAATTTATTTTCAGTTAACGAACAGATAATGAACAGAAATAGATAACCTGGTTCTGATGAGGGGGTTTTGTATATTTCAAGGGACAGTAAACAGACTGCTGAAAGAACGCCCGATCTGGCAATAAAGAGTGTGTAGAACCTGCTAAAATCGCAGAGGTGTGTATAGTTTTAATTCTCACGTAATCACACTTTATAACCGGTTATTAGTATTGCATATGCAATCGGTAATACAGATCAAAATACATTGTATTGCAATGGCAATCGGAAACTCAGACAAAAATCTGCTTAGTATAATAGACAAAACAGTTGTTTTTTAAAGCACAGATCGTATTGTATCTATCATACCGATAACTGGTAATGGGGTGTGTTTTCTAGTTTAAATTTCATAGATATGTAATTCTTATAAAAGTTTGGTTGCAACTTCAGCAGGCAAGATTAATCTTATAATGTTTTGATCGTACTGTTTGGTTGTTTTTTGCTATAAATGCTTTAAAAGATTTAACAAGAGTGGCTTTCCAAACTTATATATTTAGCGTACATAATGAAAATTATTCCAGAAAGAAGAGTCAAGCAGAAGTCAAATTAACACAGTTTTTTCACATGACTTTGATAAAATTATAGATTACAAATTCTGTTAATTCCATAAATAAATCTTGAAAATTGTTGTCATCAAATTTATAAATTTATAAGATTAACGATATTTTTTTTTAAATTGTATCTTAAATAATTTGAAATACTTAATTACACATAATGTACTCAGTATTTTCTTATTTCTATTGTAGAAAAAGTAAGTTGTGGTTATGGACTACAGTTACAACGTGTAATGCTATGCTTGATTGTACTTCCAGAAACTTGAACCACAGCGTTCTTAGTTCGAGTAACATAGCGTTTTAGCTGTATTGATTTTGTCATCATGTTTTAAAAAACATTATGTGTTACATTTATGATCGCTTTTACATAAAATGATTTATGTTGAGTATTTGTATTTTTTATATGCAACCTCCACACTGTGAACCTCCAAAAAGGGGCCATGTTATTAAGTTTCTTACATGTCAATCTGTTCGTACCTACGTTGCTTGTTTATCATCATCGGTAAGCTGAGAAATTCATTTTGTGAAAGATAAAGTATAATAGTGCGAGTTTAAGGGTGTAGGACTTAGAAACCCCATTATTTTGCTCTCGTTTAATTTTTCTTATATTTACACCATTGAAAGGTTAGGGGTCCATGCATCATCTGCCAAAGTCTTGTTGAAATTTGCCGTTGAATTTTATGTTAATGGTATATTGAATATGACCAATTTTCGTTTGAAAACACTAGCATGCAGGCATATATATATTATTGTGTGTTTTTGCACATGTTCTCATTAGGAATTAGGAATGCCCATGACTGTTTAAATGTGTGAGTAGAAACATACTTTAAAGTAAATCTGAAATGTCATGGTTATATTTGTAGCCTAAATGTAAATAAATGGTTTAAACTATTGAATAAGTAGAAAATTCTGGCCAGTTCAGATAACATATTTATTTTTCAAACTTTGCCAGAAAAAAAAATCTATCGTTCAATTCCTGCACAAAATTGCCGAAAAAGTATTGATTATTAACCTTGAAAAACCTTTATTGAATTTGATCGTTTGAAATTTACCAAAAAAAATAAATAATTTGAATTACAGACATAAGAAAAAGAGATATTTTTGGGAAAAATCTTTTTTTTTCCTACAGAAACCTTCTTCAGTCTTTTTTTCATTATTTTTGTGTGATTTAGGGAAAATTGTATGGTCCCAACAATAACTGCAGACAAGTTTATGCAAAAAATCAGTAATATTCAGTATGAGACGATTACCTTCGGGACGAATTGACACATCTATATTAAAATGCGTAATAGTGTAGGTTATCTGTTAGCATTAGATTGTACTAGGATGGATGCTCAGATCATATCTTCTAGACTTTTGCCGTTTGTATTTGAAAATCAAAGACAAACAGTACATATACATAAGTATAGCCTATCAACCAATAATAGCTTAGTACTAAAACCTTATAACTTCGTTATTCAACCCAATTTTTTCCAATTCAAATTTTTCAAAGCTTTTTAAGATTTTATTTAGATGATGTCAAGACATATTAAAAAAAACTCCACAGTTACATTTTTTTTCAAAAGCTTTTCATGTATGAATGTTAATTTTCTAACTTTTCATCTTTTGATTTTTGTATCTTGAAAAAACGTAATTCCTTAATGTAATGCTTGGTGGAGTCAAACCTGTCCAATTTTATTAGATGCTCCTGCATCATTCTCATAACCAAATGTTGCATCATTCTCATAACCAAATGTTGCATCATTCTCATAACCAAATGTAAACAACATAAATGCTTGATCAATGCAAATGACTTTGAATACCTCGAGAGATTATGCACTTGACAAGGGATGCATAAATACATTTTCTCCAATATACAGACTGGTCAGTATAATTTGTAATGTAGCTCTTTTCCGTCTTTTAAACCAGTAAGATCGGAACCTTTACATGATGAAAAGAGAAAATTCCTTCCAGTTCAGTTTACTAATAAAGGAATTGATGCTATCAACATCAGCAACGTTCTTCATCGTAAATCTTCATTTTCAAAATCAGTCTGTTTCTATTGTATCCTACAGTTACACAAAAACCATTGCACCTAAAGTATTTAACTTTAAGCAGGACCTTGATTTAGAAGAATACCCAAAAAAAAATTCCGACATGTGACTGTTCCCACTCGCCTTATATTTACAGCCCTTCTGGCCATGTTATCACTGGGGATCTAAACATGATTCAACATGAACATCTCTGAAAGGTAATATCTCATGGTTCTTAGTTCAGAGAACCCAAACACATCAATTGGAACCATAACTTCAAAATAATTATGAATTCCATTGGACTACGCCTAAGTATGAGCTAAACGAGAAGAAGTTGAACTGGACACTTTGTCAGAATGGTTCAAAACAATCAGGTCTCTGATAAAACGTCGAATTCATAAGTTGAAAAAGTGTATGAATGAGCGACCAAAGAAGCTGTGAAATGTCTATCATCTTTAATGATAAATATGTTGTTGTTCCTGTGGACAAAGCTACAAATAATATTGTCTTTGAATGTTAATCGTACTACTACGAGTGTCTTGTAAAAGAATTAGGAATAAATGAGCACTCATGTAATCCTACATATAAAAACATTATCATTTGACAAGGATGATATTTTGGCGAATAATAAGTCCTTCATGGCTTCAATGAACCTTATATCGAACAGCAAATCTGAGGACTTACCTTGTTTGTATTGGATACCTAAGCTTCATAAAATTCCGTATAAACAACGGTACATTGCCGGCTCATCTGCATGTTCTACAAAGGAATTGTGTATTAGATTGACCATAAACCTGTCCGCAGTGGTAGAGGGTCTTCAGAAATACTGTGAAACTGTTTACTCGCGTAGTGGTATTAACCATATGTGGATTCTAAAAAACTATAAAGAGCTATATGATAATTTTAAATCTCGATCTTTCTCTGAAATTAATTCTATCCAACCTTTTGATTTTTCAACCCTGTATATCACCATACTCCATGTGAAATTAAAAAAAATTGTCTATAACAGAAATAATCAGCAATAATGCTTTTCAATATAAAAATGGAAGCATACGCTATAAATTTATTGCTTTGGGATAACATACGGCATAATTTGTTAATAGTGAACAAAAAGGTAAAACATGCTACACAGAGGAACAAGTGATCAGTATGGTGGAGTTTCTTATTGACAACATATTTGTTGAATTTGGGGGTAGACTTTTTCAACAAATTGTCGGCATTCCTATGGGAACGACTGTGCACCTCTCCATGCCGACCTCTTCTTATTTTCATATGAGTTGGAGTTTCTTCAGACACTTGTCTAAAAAACCAGATCATTTAATTTCACATTCAGATATATTGATGATGTTCTTTCCAGGTCCATTAACAATCCAAACTTTTCTGATTGTGTTCTATTAATATATCCTCCAGAACTAGAAATTAAAGAAACAACAGACAATTAGACTTGTACCTCGAATTTGACATAAGCGGTTATCTCAGTACCAAAATATATGACAACCGAGACGATTTTAATTTTGAAGCTTATAGCAGCAACAAACCAACTTCACCTACATATGGGATATACATTTCCCAACTCGTTCTGTATTCAAGAGCTTGCAGCTGCTACACAGACTTTATAAAACGTCACCAGTGTCTGAGCAGAAAGTTGACGAGCCAAGGTTATATCAAAGAACGACTCATCCTTTTTCTAAAAAAAAAGTTCACTGGAAGATACCAAGACCTTGTTGATAAATATTCTGTATCAACTTAATTCATGATGGTCTTGAAATATAGATTCTAGGTATTGACGTTGTTTATCATCTTAATTACGTGTTATAGTGTTCTTTTTTTATGTCCTTGTGCATTTTGATTAAGATTATATTACAATGTACCCCAATTTTTGACATTTGTACCTATTATGTCTGTTTGTTTTGCTCACACATTGTTTTCAATATAATGGACTTCTATGCGACTGCCATAAAAGTGAGAGGTTTAACTAGCTATAAAACCAGGTTTAATCCACAATTTTTTACATTAGGAAATGCCTGTACCCAGTCAATAATATGACAGTTTTTTCTATTCGTTTGATGTGTTTGAGCTTTTGATTTTGCCATTTGATAAAGGACTTTCCGTTTTGAATTTTCCCTGGAGTTCGGTATTTTTGTTATTTTACTTTTTTTATGCCCCACCTAGGGGCATTATGTTTTTTGGTCTGTGTGTCCGTTCGTCCGTTCGTCCGTCCGTCCGTCTGTCCCGCTTCAGGTTAAGTTTTTGGTCAGGGTAATTTTTGATGAAGTTGAAGTCCAATCAACTTGAAAATTAGTACACATGTTCGCTATGATATGATCTTTCTACTTTTAATGCCAAATTAGAGTTTTGACCCCAATTTCACGGTCCACTGTGGCATCCGTGTACTATGGACACATTCTTGTTTTTTTTTTTGTAAGAGTAGTCTCCAATACCCCAGGTCTATCCCCTTGATTGTGATTTATTTTTACGTTTTGTTGTGTAGTGGTTAACTAAGATATGACCTTAAAATACAGAAATATGAAATATTTGAATCTCAATAAGCTCCAAAACGTGAGAATACATCAATGCTATCATTTACTTTGAAATGGAATCTGAAATCCGTTATATAGATGAATTTGGCATGTTTCGCATTTCAAATATATATCGTTTCCTTAATATACTCAACTACCCTTTAAACGCAACACCTCCGTTATATTTTTAAGTAAAGATATCTAATGTTAATCACTTTCTAAAAAAGTCAAATTTTTGACACAATATTACTGGAGTCACACATCAAATCAAATTTTCTAAATTTTTCTTTAAAACATTTCTTAAAAAAGAACACGAAATCGTCGTGAAAGTTGAAGTATGCAAATGACTTTGATATTTTTTTTCTAAACATTCTTTTTTCTAATGACCAATTTAAAATTGATTGTAAATTTTTTAAACGTTTTTTTTTAGATAAAACTGCCATTGTCGACACGAAAACGAATGTCTCTGTTAACTAAAGGTTATATGTAGTGACATGTCTAAACAACTTTAGCTGTTTGGTGTGTGGGTTGTTTGTATCCCAATGTCATTCTTACTTTGTTTTAGTCGCTATGTCCGCTATGGGTTGTGTACTCAGTAAGATGCATCACGTGTTGTCCGTTGTTGATCTTCGCAGAATGTCTGTCAATGAATGTGTTTCCATATTTTAGTCTTATTGCCTGGTTTTACGGAATGAATCACAGTGATCAGAGGAACTTATGCAAATGCAACTAATTACCGGTCGGCTTTATTTGTTTTGCATTTGGTCATCTGGATCTATTACCGTTTGTGAATGTATATGAATTAGAATATGGTAAGTAAACGTAAGTTAGGCGGTTTTATGATATACGTCGTTTA